AATGCTCGACCGTCAAGTCAGTATATGGGAGATCTGCCAGATTATCGCATCACACCGTCACCAGTGTTTGCGAACACAGGAGTGGACTATGCTGGTCCAGTTATACTTAAAGAAGCTGGGCGAAAGACTGTTCAGTACAAAGCGTACATTGCAGTGTTCATCTGTTTGGCAACTAAAGCCATTCATCTTGAGTTGGTTTCTAACCTAACAACAGACAACTTCGTTGCTGCCTTGCAACGATTTATAAGCAGACGTGGCATGGTTAGCAACATTTATTCCGACAATGGAACCACATTTGTTGGAGCAAACCACGAACTGGCAGCCCTGCGTACACTTTTCGAAGATCAAGGCCACCAGAGAAAACTGAACGATTTCTGCATTACCAAGAGTATTCAATGGCATTTTATTCCCCCACGAAGTCCCCATTTCGGTGGTATCTGGGAAGCGGGCGTTAAATCGGCGAAGTATCACTTGAAGCGTGTGGTTGGCGAGACCAAGTTAACTTACGAAGAAATGTCTACATTCCTGGCACAGACAGAGGCTATTTTGAACAGTCGACCGCTCATTCCAGTATCCGATGATCCAAACGACGTCGAAGTTTTGACACCCTCACATTTCCTTATCGGGCGATCTGCTGTATGTCTTCCGGAACCATCCTACGACCAAGAAAAAATCGGCCGACTTAGCCGTTGGCAACACATACAGCTAATGAAGGAGCACTTTTGGAAGCGTTGGTCGGGAGAATATTTGCATCATCTTCAATCACGCCCAAAATGGCATAACGGCATCACCAAATTTGAGGTTGGATCACTTGTGGTACTTAAGGACGACAACGCACCACCCCATCAGTGGCGTATCGGCCGCATCCAATCTACCCACCCAGGGAAGGATGGGATTGTACGAGTAGTGACTGTGAAAACATCGACGGGAGAGTATCGGCGAGCTATTACCAAAGTTTGCCTTCTTCCTTTGGTTGATCCTGTGGAATCAACGGGGGGAGAATGATCGTTCAACCCTTGCACATCGTGAGCCCCCTAGCTTCACTACCAACAACAGAGAGAACTAAGTTGAAGTTTCGATTCAGTGTTTTAGAGTATTAATAAAGACGCAGTTCAGATTGGACGTATTTTGATTTTAATTCGACACAAATCAACCGAAAACCAATCCATTGAGCTATTTTTATAAACAGTGTCATTGCTTGAATTCTTTTGCCACAGTTTTCCGAGTGAAGTAGTTCTAGTATAAACGCTAAGAGAGACATATCCTGTTACGAAGCTACTTCAAGATAGAGAAGTAGATTCATGCCGTCTCAAACTCCTTGCAAACTCCGATCATGCTTAGCATTCAAATGTTCGACTCCGGACATTGAGATTAATTAAACATTAATTTCTGCACTTTGTGCTAACCAGATACCAAGATTAGGACATCTTTGAATACCGAGGTTAGTCTGTAAAACATAAAGATCTGAATCTATACCTCTCACTCCAAAATCATGAGTTCAAATCTAACCCCGATAAAGCAAGAATGACCCGAGAGTGTGAAAATTACTATAAATAAAAAAAAATACTTTACTTCTGTTAAGATTCTATTAAGATTATTTGAAAAATCATCATTGGAGTTTTTTTGCATTTCTCTTCTCAATTCCAATCCCCAATTGAGAAAAACATATTTTGAGCTTACTACATATTACATACTGTATTCTTTAGGGTCAACAGTTAAGCGAAATAATAATCTATGCCTCAAGTAAGGATTTGGGTTTTATTATGCGATAAAACTTGTGATGGTACTTGGGGTATTTTGCCGTACTTAATTGTTTCAATTAAACTGGGAAAAGTAGGTTAGACAACTGGAAAAAAAACCGAAAAAAGGTTTAAACAAAATAAACTCTGGTTCCGATATCTCTTTGTCACCTTGCAAGTTTTCCAAGCCTAAGATGTTGAAAAATGGTCTAGGAAACTTTCCAAGCGCTAGAGCTTTTTTCAAAGACCTGAATTTCGATAAATCTTTGAAGGCCGTAGCTTTAGTTTCGGCAAACATCGAAAAATCAGGTAGTAGAATCTTCTTTTTTCAGAAGTTCTTTTCCAAGCCCATCAAATTGTATTTTCTACAAGTCCGGAATCGACAAATTTCCAATCCCAGATTTTAGATAAATTATAATTTACATTCTAACATATCGTAAATTATTCTATGCTTTCTTAATTTACTTGAATTAAAGATCGCGAATTACTAAGTACTAACATTAAACAAAAAAACGTCCAATATCTCTAAAATGTAGACCAGAATCTTACAACTTTTTTGAAGATCGAGATTTTTCGGGAAAATTTTCCTCGTTCTAGAATAATGATAATTATTTATACGATCCAGAACACTTGTCTAAGTTCCAGAGATATGAAATTTTTTCTATGTTTGAAGTTTTACAGAAGTTTCTATATTCGAGATCTTTAACTGTTTGCTTGTCTTAAAATTGACAAATTTGAGGAAGACGTTGAAAATTTTTCTCTGTGCCTCAATTTTTTCCAATTTCAAGATTTCCTAATAAATTTCTATGTCCAATCTTTCACATCCCGAAATTCAACCAATTCGCGATCTGAATCTAAATTCAACTTATTCAACGGTTGGTTTCCAAAAAATCGTGGCAGAAAAATGAGTACTGTGTGGGAAATGGAGGTTACAAATTAACATATTGATTATCCAATTAATACTGATTTTACGAAAACAAATTTATAAGATGGTTCAACCATTTGTTTTATTTTAAAAAGAGCTTTTAAAATGCTCATGGTGGTTTGGGAATTTATAATATTTGTCAAAGCGGATCGCATTAAACGACATCGCATTTGTCAAAGCGGATCGCATATCTTTAATATCTTTCCGATCAATAAATGTCACTATTGGTCAATTTTTTATTGTTTTACAGTCACTATTTGGTCATTTTTTTTCGTTATTGTAGTCAATACTATTGTATACCAGCCCTGCATATTGTAGAGGAATTCTGCTGACAAAATTTTATCATTATCTCTAAAGGGTTATTTTTGAACGCCTTTTTTGTTAAGGTAGAGTTTTTTTTTAATAACCGGGAAAAAACCGGGAATTGAAAAAAGAAATTTGAATGGACACCCTAAATACGTAATGTGGGTACCCTAAATGCATTTTGAATCAAACCAGACTCCAAGGTATTTGAAGGTCAAAGATTGGGTAATTTCTCTGCCCAAAAGATATAGATGCAGTTGGGCTGGAAACCGCTTCCTTGTAAACACTACTAATTCAGTTTTTTGCGGTGAAAACTCGATCCCCAAATTTCTGGCCCAGAAGGATAGATTATCTAGGTAATTTTGCAATGGTCTTTGCAAGATTTCCGTACGTGGACCTCTCAGGGAAACCACCGCATCAATATCTTTGACGTAGAAATCATAAAGTAAGGGACTTAAACAAGAACCGTGGGGTAAGCCCATGTAGCTAATTCTAGAAGTTGTCAGTTGACCTAGATTGAAGGTCATATGTTTTTCAGACAGCAAATTATACAAGAAATTATTTAAAATACCGGGTAATCCACTGCAGTGCAGACTGACTGACAGTATGTCTATGGAAACTGAATCAAATGCGCCCTTAATATCCAAAAAGACTTTAGCCAATTGCTCCTTGTGCGCAAAGGCCAGTTGAATATCAGTTGAAAGCCACGCTAGACAATCGTTTTTTTCTTTTACTCTTACGGAGACCAAATTTCGTATTTGAAAGTAGGTTGTTTGATTCAACCCAAATGGTCAAGTCTTGATATGATCATTTTTTCTAATAATTTGCTCAGGCATGATAGCATAGAGATCGGACGGTAAGAATTGTAATCAGACGCTATTACTATTACTTTAAACTGTCTCCATGCTGGTGGAACTATATTGAGTTCCATAAAGGAATTATACAGGTTAAGTAATCGACTTTTAGCGATATCGGGGAGGTTATTTAGAAGGTCGATTTTGATCATATCGCTTCCCGGAGCAGAGTTATTCGATGAAAGGAGCGCCATTGAAAATTCCAGCATTGTGAATGGTTCATCCAGAGAACCGTTACTTCGGGCTGTATCCCGTAAAGTCTGTTGTGCTGGGACAGAGTCTGGACAAACCTTTTTAGCGAAGTCGAATATCCATTGAGAGGAGAATTCTTCACTCTCATTGGAGGATGAGCGGTTTCGCATATAGCGAGCCGTTTTCCATAGCATTGTCATCGTGGTTTTTTTTCTTTCTAGAAAGTCAGTTAAAGTCAGTGACGTTTCAACGTCACGGTACAAAAATCATCTTGCCATACATTCTTCGTCAGTCACGAAAAGAGTCCGACAGTAATCACTAAAAATCATATAGCATCTTTTACCTTAAAGCTGGGTTTAGGCAGTGCAAGTCAATTGATCAAGTCAGTTGAATTCAACTGACTTTTTTTTTCTTTGATTTGTTTTCCGTCGATCTTGTTTTCCGTGCTGAGCACCAATGCTACCGACGCCAGGAAGGCAGTTCCCACACCTGAACCCTACCTATCGACCCATCAACTCATGAACCGGGGACCAACGGCTTTACTACCCTGAAGGCGTGATCAGAGATGTTATGCCTCAGAACATCCCGGCGGCGCCGACTGGGATTGAACCCAGGCCTGCTGGGGTGAGAGGCAATCACGCTTACCACTACACCACCGGCACCGCTGGGATCGATTCAACTGACTTAAAATGGTACATGCGAGCAGACGAATGAACGTGCTATGAGCGCTTCTTGTTTTCCTGTAGCCTTTCAATTTTCCTAAGCATTGATGGACCAGTAGTGAAAACACAGGCTTGATTTTCTCAACGTGCGTGCTTAGAATCTAGTCTCGGTCGACGTGTACAAACACAGTTCGTTTTGTCTATATACAAGCATAAAATGAAACTAATAAGCCTTATAGAGGAAGCTAAAAGTCTTCATAAGAACAGTTCTGATTTGCATAGCTGATAATATTTATTTGTAAAATTGTTACACTGTATACGAGTCATGAGCGCTACACTGAGGCTAGTTGTGGGGTATAAACACATATAATTTTTATTTTATCACAAATAATTGATTCGTTCTAATCATACCTAACTAGTATCTAACTCAATATGAATTTATTGTGCGGTGACGTCTTCCACGCTAACCTGTGTAGCTTCGTTCAGAACTTCAACGTTCGGCTGGCCACTCTCCTCTGGTTCTGAAATTTTGTTTAATAGAAGATGAGATTGATCAGGAGTCACATTCAATACGCTGTGCAATATGTGGGTATCTACAATTATTTATTTTAGGTGACGTGATTGCTCAAAAAAATAAAATGAAAAAAACCTAAAAACAATGCTGCCTATCACCATAAATTCATACGATTTGGTTTACAAAAACAAAACAAAAAACAATTAGGGCGTTTTACGTTGTCGTACACGACTAATGAGATCAACCCAAATTTGAGTTCAGTTTACTAAAAAAAAAATTAAAAAAGTGCAGAAAATTTTCCAGGTTTTTCTAGGAAAAAAATCCCGAATATGAGAAAAGTCAAGATTGGATTCTCTCAGTCATTGATACTACTTCTAGACTGAGTAAAATTTTCGAATTTTCCTCATTTTCCGGCAGATTTTTTAGGTTTTCCACAAGAAAATATTGGGCAAATTTACTCATAGCTGAGTTCCTGCACTTTTTGCGATTATGAGTAAACTGAACTCAAATTTGGGTTGATTCCTTGGGCGTGTAGTACCTTGATTGATTGCAGCAGGTACATCTCGGATATCATCCACGTCGGCGCAAACATTGATTCGGCCACGGTAGAATCTATCTGGAACGACTCAAGCTACCCGAACCCGAGCAGGAACGTATATCTCGATACCTTAAATTGGTAAGGATGAGTCTGACATAAGAGGTAAAATACCAAAAAATAATATCAAAAAAATGTTCCCACAATACCAGTCCAATACCAAATTTTGCAAATACAATACCAGAAGAATACCAGGTATTTTTTGGTACCCAAATATCAATTTTAGTGATTTACAAAGTATTTTACATGCATTTTTTTTTGGTATTATTCTTTGGTATTTTACCTCTTATATCAGCGCACAGTGGTATAAAACCGAACAAGTTGAAGTTAAGTGATTTGAATTCATGAACAGTTTGAGATCTTCAGTACATTATTAACTGATCAACCTTAAGTCTTGAAAAAATATCCAGGCGACTTTATGGCGATCTTAAAACATGAGAAGGATTTCTGAGGAACCTGGAATCTATGAGCATATCTTCGAGAAGTGATTTGAATTGTTGGGCAGTTAAAGATCTTCAGAATGATACCTGATCAAACCGATGTCTAAAACAAATATCTTGAGGAAATTTTGGAGATCTATGGTCACTTGGAGGTCTTTTGAATACTTTCTGAGCAGCCTGATATTTTGAAAAATGCATGGGAGATATGATTTGAATTGTTGGGCAGTGGAATTTTGAAATTATTGGATGACGATTTCATCGTGACATTTTTTGTAAAAAAAAAAGTCTCGTTACCACCTCTGCCTGCTATGCCTGCGGAACTGTATTGTTCGATGGGTCGTTTTATCGTAGACAATAATGCTGATTTTAATGTTCCACTAATTGTTTTTAGTTGAAGAATTTCTTGAGTTGTATGTTTTTTGTTTGAAGGTTAGTTCCACTTCAAGACGAATAATTGTTAGATGATTTAAAGATAAATATCACTATTTTGTGTGAAAACGTTTGGTACGTGAAGGCGTGTAAAGATTAACATAGAACTGCTCTACTATTCATGACAAGTCAGTCCACGCTTAACACAACTTAATCAACGAGTCGAGAAAAATGCATTTTTAAGCTTTACAACAAATGTTCAATTTTTTTTTTTTTCTGAAAAATCTTAAAACAGAACCGCCTTGAAATAAGTGGCAGCAGATAAGGTTGTCGGCAACATTGTTTCTTGGATATTACGTATAATTTCAGAGGTTCATTTTACATCGTTAGTTTAGCTTACCCATGTCTCGTTCGATGGTCGAAACAACAACTCGAACCAGCTTGAAGTCAACCACCAGTACAATACGAAGTAGTAGGACAATAGCTCCACAAATATAGCTGCTAGCCCAAATCCATGGAAACACCGTTATTAGGTAATAATTTTTATCCGGCAACACCAAATCATTTGCTTCGATCATTGAGAAATAGGTAATCATCCTCGCGCAATCAATGTCAGCGGTTGAATTAATTTTATTAAACTGTTGGCAAAATTTTGCCAATCCACTGCTCACTAGACTGGCGCACACAATCGCCGAAATTCCACATATGGTGAAAAATGTTAACGATGGAATGACGATTCTCCAGGGTCTAGCTATTATACTGAAAAGAGGAAAGTCTAGAATTTTAGTTGTAAGTGAATAGATTGTCTTACCTTCCAACGCCCTCACCGCCATGGCCATGTGTCACAAATAAAGCTGCCCAGATCACCCCAAGCAGAGCGTGGAACAACGGTGTGTATGTCAGATACTCACAAAAGTCGGGATTACTCCATTTGCTGTCGTATTCACTTATGATGTCTGGAATTGTTAACAAAACAATAATTATAATCTAATCACTTCAACACCAAAGAAATATTTCAAGTGTTTTTTTTAATAATTGATACACAGCCTAGGCAAACCTAACAAATACCATAAACGAACAATAACCAATATGATAGAACTATTTCACAAATGGTTTGGATGATACCCCGAACACGTTGTTAAGCAAAATACCCATAAACAATTTTAACAATTATTCTCCAACCCTAGAGTCTATTCACAAGAAATGCTTAGTCCCGGAAGCTAGTGATGCACCGAATATTGCTATTTGTTCTGGTATTTGAGCGAAATTTTGAGACAACTTAGTTTTGTATTCGGCAGAATACTATGGTGGGTGAATATTTGGTACTTCACTACCGGAAGCTACCGCATCAGAAGCCGATATAAACCCTAATCCAGCAATTGTGACATAGAACGTTACTGGAGGTGGGTCGACCACACACTACGAAAGGGTGGAAACGACAAAAATCATCTCATCGCAGCAGAGGCAGATCAAAGGACTCATGGCGGCCTAGCTTCAACAACGAAATCAAGCAGCAGATGTACTAATGGATATTTTTTGTCACTATTGAAAATTTAGTCGATTGCTGAATTTATGTATGGGCCCAAATTAGGGACATTTAGGCCGAAATTACATCCATTTCCCCTACGTAGAAAGATTTTGAAAAATTTAAATCCTCTTTCCTTCCTTTCCCTTCCCCCTGCGTCGTATAAACAATTTGTTACAAAATTTTAACTGTAGACTCTCGCCAATCGCCTTCACCCCCGCCACATAGCTTATGAACAACCTCTGTCTACGTACATTTCTCATCCAGCGCGGTTGATTGCAGCAGTTTGTACAGAATCTGCCTTTCCTTTTCTGATCTGTTCGTTTGCATCACTTCTCGTAAACCGGATCCTTTAGATATTACAAAACTTAAACTTGCTCCCATGAAGCAGTTTAACCTGAAGCTTTCCCACAGGGAGTACAAGCTGAAGCTTATTACCAAGCTAGAAGCCACAGCAACGGCTAACACCGCCAGGATGGACACTGTCAACGAAAGGAAATTATGTATAATATGTGCTGATATGCTTTATTTTATTCTAATACTTTTCCAACAATAGCTCACATGTTGAGAGTCTTTTTCAATCAATCGGTGGTAGGATAACAGCACAGCCATTTTCGAATAATAGAATTAACTTTGGGCGGTTACTGTGTGCACAATCTTTCACTTCCAGATTAACTACTAGATCAAAATCATGCTGGTTGTTGTTGTCATCGTATTCTCTTCTGCCGCACACTTTGTTTCTATTTTGAATTAGTTGTCTTCACACATCCGAATCGAATGCAAGATATTCAAATCAAAACTCAATACTATGCTTTCAATTAACCGGAGCGACTTTCGATGACTGATGATGACTGTTTGTATGTGAGCTAACAAACTCAAGCAACGATATACATTTTCCGCACAACGAAAAAAAACTTATGATCTCATCCGAGAAACCAGAGAATGTGTACGTAACTCTATAAGCACATTGAATAGTCGAAATACTCCATCAAAACACGTTCGAGCGTCTCCTTCGGCGCACATGTTTGAAGCTCGCGCCCGTGGTTCTACATGGCAGTGTATGAAATTTTAATGTGCGACTGAATAATAAACGACGTCCAAAAAAAAACATGAACAACGCCTAATGACGAGCCTAGTTATAGTTGAACGTGAAATTATCCAGCTTTTATCAGTCGTATAGATAAGAACACCTACATTGAAGCTATTTGTAGCATTCAATGAGGTGAATATTCAAATAAACACATCGAACCCTTGCTAGACACTGCAAAAACCGTCAGCAAGTCTGTGGAGGAAGTTAATTTTAAACTGTAAACATCAAATCACTGCATATGTGTACAGTGAGTTAAATAGTATTCCATAAAACAAACCTGCACGAAAATGGATTCAGCTGTTTGCTATGGCACGATCGGAGTGCAGCAGCTGGTCAAGAAGCTAGATATATGTTGATTATTTCAGGTTCAAATTATGAGCAACCAATCGGGCAAATTTGCATCTTTTAAATTCTTGAATGAAGATATACATTCATTTATCGTTAGTTGTACCTACATTTGGACAGCATGGTAATGTAGGCAAGATTGAATTGAGTGTTTTTTGTCATATCGGACAAGTATGAGCCGAAGGATTTTTGAAATTTTGTCCACCACACTGGGGCAGCGTGTCCATAGGAATTACTGGTATACATATATACGGTATCCCTTAGCTCAGTCGGTAAAGGCGCAGCTACAAAGCAAAACCATGCTGGAAGTGGCTGGGTTCGATTCCTGGTTTGGTCTAGGAGTTTTTTGGGTTGGAAAATTTCTCGACTTCCCTGGGCATGATTGTACTTGCAACACAATTATACTAATGGTACAGGCGTCGAAAGCTCTCAATTAATAAATGTGGAAATGCATTTAAAATACTAAGTTGAGAGCACGCAATAAGCTAATATGCGATAAGCAACAAGCTTCAAATGTGAAGAAGAAGATGAAGTGATAGAAAATTTTACCAGCTTTTCAAAAATCACATCGCTATGCTTCGGAAACGTTTGTAATACATATAGCGAAAAATTATGTATTTTGATATCAACTGTATTTTGATATAACTGTCCCTCCCCATGGACATGGAGGTTGACGGTACTGAAGCAAAGGGTTATGTTTAATTTCTTTATATTTGCAACGATGATGATTTCCCATAGTGACACATATCACCTTCTTAATGCTTCAGTATACCTCAAACGGTTAATTCTTGGTTGTTAATAGAACTTCCTTGATGCAATCGGCTGCTTCATGCAGACTGAGCAATTCTGATTATAGTATCAGATTTGTTCTGTATACAGAGGAACTGGGAGGGCTTATTAGAAACTTCTCACCAATAAAGTACTGACCTTCTAGTAAATTTTGCATATCATTTTATTAATATTTTATTTTATTTAAGTATATTATTTTTGTTACAGTCAATTAGCATTAGCATACAATTCAAGAGATTTAATATTACTTGCTCGGTTTTGCGTAAAATAATCAATATGTATTTTGCTTGTAATTACCTTTGAATTTTTTTTTTGTGATTTCAAAATTTTCCTAGTTTGGTTAGAAGTTTCGAAGCTAACATATGTACACAGGCCTAATAGAAAGATAGACAGACAAAGCGTACTCACTTTCTATAGATGAGTGATTTTCGGAGTTTTGAATTCGTTAGATGTTGTAATGGAGGTTTGTGTTGTTGGATGCGGGAGGAGATTGGAGGGTGGGTGTTTGACGCATAAAGCCTGTCAATTTCGCTTTCAGAGTGTCGCAGTAAGCGGTTTTATGATTCGTGAGCGCTCGCGATTCGTAGAATCGTTGATTGTGACTGCCAGTGGATTTGGCGGGTTTTGTGTGTCGGACGCTTGCTTTTTGGCTTTTCTTGTGTCTTAACATGTGCAGAGTATCATTATAGCGTATAATGGTTTTGAGATTCCTGGTTGCGTGAAATATACTTGTGAGAATATCTTTTTGAGATTTTAGTAGTCACGTTTTGTTTGTAGTTTATATGTTATTTCTTTCATGTAATTATCGTAAATAATAGTTATTCAATAATAGATAATTCATCCATATATTCAATAATAAATTTACGAATGACTATAATTTGGATACCTAACAATTGGACAGAATCACTAGCAAGAATAGGTTGTGTTCGCCTTCGAAAATATCGATTCGTTTTTTCAGGGTTGTAGTTTTGGTTTTCATCAGTGGCCCGGCTCTGATTGTGAACGATTTAGGTAGTATTTTTAGGTAACTATTTAGCTTTTAGCACAACTTTGCTACTACGAATCCACAAAAGACATTAAATTGGAGGCGGATTCTGGTACGGAATTACAGGCTGCTATTCTGAGCAACTTATCTTCATAAAATTAAAAATTACATTTAGGTATTAATTAGCAAATATGAATAGTAGTTAACTTTAACATAATTTTGATAAAACAATCATTTCATCCAGTTCACTTTAAAACAAACAAGTATGAAAGGAGATTGCTTAGAATAAAGATAAAAGTAATAAGCGCAATATTAAACGACATTAAATTTGAATCTGATACGGTAGGCCATATAACAGAGTCGATAGCCATTGCAAATCAACCATCTCTACCTGCTTATTTTCCTAACTTTCACTATTATTGCTGTTACTCTGACTATCCCCTATGTTCAACAGCTTTCCTTACTATCCGGTATCGTAAACAGGATTCATTTGACCCCTGTGGTTATTATTTTGTGATGCCAAATCTATACCTCTACCCTGGTGCAGTATGGACTGCGATTTTTCGCTGGTGACTTGGCCCTATGACCCCCTTCTGTGCTTGAAAATGAAAATGAAAAATGAAACTGTATTTTGATATAACTGCACAAATTTTTTTGGCGCAATGACAAGCGTGGGATCAGAGTAAACTATTACGCTGGTGTCACATGCTGAATTTTAGTTCAAAACTCATTTTGGTTACTTCCTTGGGAGTAACCAGAATCATTGGCAGACCTTTTCAGAATCGTTACTCGCTCTGTGGAATAGCTCAAAACTGCACATTTTATTTTAATTTATTAATTTATTATGAATTGAGTTGTTTAAACTTTTTTTTCATCGTTTCTTGTTATTTTTTTTTTGAGTTAATGGTTGTATAGAAGAAAATATAATTAAAAAACTTGAATGTATCCAATACGCTTGACGTGCATTTTAATTGTTCTCCTGTAAGGCCAATGCGACTTTAGACACTCAAAATAGCTTCCAATCATAATTAATATTCACGTTAGAAAGTGACCACCTCCTCGGGAGCTACCGAAACATGTACTGATGTGGTCAATGTGTTCTGGGACACTTAGTATAACCACCATCGATCTTGTTTTCGAACTCTATTGTGATTTGAGATATCTCATGGTGGGTTTTGTCCTAAGTTAGAAACTGGCCACTTCCGTGGGGGCATCCGGAACATACCTTTATGTCTCCAAAAGGGTCCAAGGCACTTGTTTTTAAATATTCAATAGCATTCTAAGCCCTCCCCATGGACATGGAGGTTGACGGCACTGAAGCAAAGGGTTATGTTTAATTTCTTTATATTTGCAACGATGATGATTTCCTATAGTGACACACATCACCTTCTTAATGCTTCAGTATGCCTCAAACGATTAATTCTTGGTTGTTAATAGAACTTCCTTGATGAAATCGGCTGCTTCATGCAGACTGAGCAATTCTGATTATAGTATCAGATTTATTATGTATACAGAGGAACTGGGAGGGCTCATTAGAAACTTCTCACCAACGACTTCTAGTAAATTTTGCATATAATTTTATTAACATTTTATTTTATTTAAGCATATTATTTTATTTAAGCATATTATTTTTGTTACAGTCAATTAGCATTAGCATACGATACAAGAGATTTAATATTACTTGCTCGTTTTTGCGTAAAATAATCAATATTTATTTTACTTAAAATTTCATTTGAAAGTTTTTTTTCAAGTTTTTTTTTTGTGATCTGAAAATTTTCCCAGTTTGGTTAGAAGTTTCGAAGCAAACGCATGTCCACAGGCCTAATAGAAAGATAGGCAGAAAAAGATCAAATAGATGTTGTAATGGAGATTTGTGTTGTTGGATATGGGAGGAGATTGGAGGGCGGGTGTTTGACGCATATAGTCTGTCAATTTCGCTTTCAGAGTGTCGCAGTCAGCGGTTTTATGATTCGTGAGCGCTCGCGATTCGTAGAATCGTTGATTGTGAGTGCAAGGGGATCTGGCGGGTTTTGTGTGTCGGACACTTGCTTTTTGGCCTCTTCTTGTGTTTAACATGTGCAGAGTATCATTATAGCGTCTAATGGTTTTGAGATTCCTGGTTGCGTGAAATATATTTGTGAGAATATCTTTTTGATATTTTAGTAGTCACGTTTTGTTTGTAGTTTATATTTTATTTTTTTCATGTAATTATCGTAAATAATGGTTATTGAATAACAGATAGTTCATCCTTATATTCGTACTTTGACGCGAAGCGCTGTGGATTATGAGATGCTCGATGATCCTGGAGGGATCGATTTTGCTTACTGAGCAGAAAATCATGGATTTAACCCCAAGCTCTTCCACAGCACAATAAATCGCCACCATCATTTGTATATTTGATATTGAACATTAACCTCGGAAACTATTTGCATATCAAGCGAAAACGTAGTCCTGTATTGTCGCGAAGTGTTTATGGTTCTGATATGCTCGATGACCCTGGAGGGATCGTTTTTGCTTACTGAGCAGAAAATCATGGGTTTAATCCCAAGCTCTCCGTCATGACTCTTAAAATTCATGATCACTAAACAAAATGAATACGTTCTTTCGATAGCCGGCTATCGAGATATTAAATAAACAACAAATAAACAATACATACTTTTGGTTGCATCGCCAACTTGAGGTGAATCCTAACCGAATACCCTACCCAACCCTCCAACTCCGTAGCACCTATGAGGATGTCGCTAAGTCGGTGGCCTTTCGTTACGTAAGTACTACATCAACATTTCCTTCCTTATCCATAGTTATGGTAAAGATGGGCGTGGCCGGGAATAGCGACAGTCATGCTTCTGTTACTCTTGTTTAGATTGA